CTATGAGATGCAACAGTGTTTGAGAGATACAATAGTATCTAACAGAAGCAAAAGTAAGTGATAGATGCAACAGTGACTTATAGATGCAACAGTGTCTATGAGATGCAACAGTGTCTATGAAATTTAACAGTGTCTGAGAGATGCAAGAGTGTCTGAGAGATACAATAGTATCTAACAGAAGCAACAGTGTCTGACAGAAGCAACAGTGTCTGACAGATGCAACAGTGTCTATGAGATGCAACAGTGTCTATGAGATGCAACAGTGTCTGACAGATGCAACAGTGTCTATGAGATGCATCAGTGTCTATGAAATTTAACAGTGTCTGAAAGATGCAACAGTGTCTATGAGATGCAATATTATCTGTCACACATAACAATGTCTGACAGATATATCTTTCTATGATTCTAACCCTAATTACATTTTTCGTAAAAACCTATATTTAAGATTTGCAATTAACACTCTTTTTTCTCTTCCAATAATGCACAAAACCAAGATTTGACATCAGATTTAAAATCTCCATCAAGTCTGCTTTCCAAATCCGCTGTCAAAACTTGAATATCTCAATTAATTAATGATATTCAGATATTGCGAATAATCTTTAGGTAAAGAAGAAAATTTAGGTTGTAAAATCATATAAAAATGTAGTTAGAGAGCAAAAATTATGTTTGAGTGGATCTCCATGTCGTAGTGGATCTAGATGTTTGAGTGGCTTTAGATGTATGAGTAGTTTTCAATGTCAGTGTGGATCAAGATGTCTGGGAATAAAAGTAAGTCGTAGGTTAATATAAGTTTGATATTAATGTAAGTATGACTTAAAATTTAAGTCTCGGACGAAAGTAAGTATGACTTGAAATGTAAGTCTCGGACGAAAGTAAGTATGACTTGAAATGTAAGTCTCGGACGAAAGTAAGTCTGACTTGAAATGTAAGTCTCGGACGAAAGTAAGTATGACTTGAAATGTAAGTCTCGGACGAAAGTAAGTATGACTTGAAATTTAAGTCTCGGACGAAAGTAAGTCTGACTTGAAATGGAAGTCTGATTCTAAATGTAAGTTCTAGACTAAAGTAAGTCTGATTCTAAATATAAGTCTGATATTAAGATAAGTTTGTAACTAAAATTAAGTCTTATTCCAAAAGCAAATTTAATTGTATAATAAGTCTGGATCTAGAGTAAGCCTTAGTCTACAGCTATTCTGTGTCAAAAATAAGTCACGAACCATAGTAAGTTTCGGACTAGAGTATGTCTGTAATTCGAATCATTCATATTCTTCAATTATCCCGCCAAAAAAATTATCGTCTTTTTATCATACCATAGTTTTTATCAATCTCGTTCTACTAAAAAACCTTTATATTGGTGATTTCTTTGTTAAACCCGTATTTTTTCATGTGAATCTTATTGTATAAACTCTAAAAGTTCAATTTCCGGTCGAAAAAAACTTGAAAACAATTTGTATTCGACGAGTTAAAGAGCTCTATTTATTCTAAATTTTCCAAAAAAAATTAGATTTGTTTTTTCGCTTCAAAAAATGTTGTTTTAAGTTTTAAAATTTGTAATTCAAAATTTTTTTGGAAAGATTTACGATTTTTTAATACTGCGAATGAGTTTTATTTTACATACTCTATTGATAAATCATATTTTTGTCGAGATATAACTTTTTTTTTAAAAAATTATATGCAAAGAGTGTTATAGAATTCTAGAAGGTATAGTGCATAATTTGAAGTATACTATCAAATAAAGAAATTTTACAGTTTTTTAGTTTTATTTAGATGTACGTTATTTTAGATGGCTTCGTCGAAAACAAAGCATGTCTGTTAAGTTTATTCTTAACATGGTAAATAAAATGGCAACGAAGCCCAGTGTACTGCGTCTTATGCCGTAGTTTTTGTTATCTTCATACTCAAATACAACAAATACAAATAGATTTATTACGAAAAAACGTATAAAACAAATGATATATTTATTTCTAGACAAGTTGACGAACATGTAGCGCAACTGTATCGCTTTAGAGAACAGTTCTTCCAACACCTACTCATTCAGTGAAAGATTTAAGAAGAACTCTTACTCGACCTTAACTACCTACGCTTTGCTTGAACAATTCCCAACGAGGTTACTATAAGGTTGCAAGTCTTGTCAAAATGTAGTATGCAATACGTTGGGGAAAAATAGATATATACGAACAAACTACTACAGTCTAGCAACTAGTCTTTAAGTGTAATGTATTTTTGCTACAAAGAGCTCATAACGAAGTCAAATTTTGCAATTTGATGTCAAAACTAGCTAGTTGTTGAATCAAATAGCGTTGTGACTTTGTATACATCACGATCTTGTGGTATCAGAGCTGTACTGCTGCAGACTAATTCAACTAAACATGAGCAAGATTGGGATTTCTATTCTCTGGGGTGCGAGGCTCGTCCAAAGTTCAAGCAGCTACAGTGTTTTGGATCACCTAAAGAACTTTGGGAATTCAGTTATTACGTAAATTTCTCAAGATGAACTTGAGAGCAGCGCAGTTATAACGAAAGTCTCTGATGAAAGGCAATGATTTCTTTCATGAATGATCTAACGTTAGCTTGAAATCAGGAAAAGAGACTATTGATGACTTACTTTCCATCGATGGTGCACAACAGCAGGGAGGGGATTGGTGGGTTTGGGGAAATTCGCTGAGGCACTAGTGTCCGGATTGTTCGTCAAATAGGTTTCCTTTCCTATAAAGAAATGACACTTTTTTGGCGGCTTATTGACTCAGAAAAATTTGAGAGTTAACGAATAATTTTGGCGCCAAAAATAATTTCTCTTAATTTATTAAATTTAATATACGCACATCCATAAGTTATGCTATTTTTTCTATTTATTTTGTTCTAAAATTCTAAATATTTTTTTTTCATAACATAAAATATGATGTCTAGTCTCATTTACATAACAACATGCCTTAGAATAGGTTTTTTATTCTTTTTGTCACTTTAAATTAAGAATAAAAAGATAATTTAAATTGAATATTTGCGATTATTCTCACTAATGCTGCTTCCTCTTTTATTAGGTAGACAACAAAAAGTTAGCCTTGGACTCCCATATCAGATTTTTGATTGGTTGCGTATATAATGAGCTGGGATTGATAGACGAAAACCCAGTGAGAAAATTTTTGACGCCTTATGGTTAATTATTTTCTTTTCGAGCTTCTCTTTAACTGTTGTATTAAGGTTGTAAATTTTTGATGCTAGAAACTATTGAATCTTCTTTGCTGCTGCATTTTTCTTGAGAGTTCTTGCAATTTCGAATATATCTGCGCATTGTATGAAATGGGGGCTTTAAAATATCTTGAATCATAATAGGACTGCTTTTCCAAAGGAATGCTTATTTGTAAATCAGAGAGTTTCAAAATTGAGTGCAAGATTATCATCATAACTTAATAATTTTGTAGCGTTTTTTAGAAAAATGCTACAAAATTATCATTCTCAATTGAATGATGAATCGAAAGAATTTTGTAGCGTACGATTATTTTCCCTTGAAAAATCAATTCAAAATTTTTGTATATTTAATCATACTGTTTAATGAGCATCCTAATTTACTAAAAATAAAAAGACGATAGAAAATATTCAAAAAACTTGATGGCTTTAGATAGTCTTTTCGAGGAGTAACTTTTTCAGTGAATCGTCGAACGCTATCCACTCTCATAACATGTCCTCTTAATGTCCAAGGATATGCAACTTTTATCCCCATATTCATTGATCTTCCAAAATTTCAATATCAAATTAGGCTTTAAAGTTCCTAAAACTTTAGCCACGAATAGGATGTCAATCTTAAAGTCGTTTCCTACCTCCTTCATACATGAAATTAAGAATAAAAGTTAATTTTTTAAAGTTTTTTAGTGATAATTTTTCAATGGAAAATAATCGTATGCTACAAAATTTTCGATTACTGATCGGGTGAGAATTTTGATTTTGGTGCAAAAAAGGAAGACAAGCTATTAACAAATCATTTACTGTTGTTCATCAAAAGAAGAAAACTTTGATAACAACTAATGATGATAAAATCAAGCTATCTTTTAATATTTTAAATTGATAAGACATTCAAAATATTTGAATGGTTTAAAATATTTTCTTTTAATTTCTATAAGATATTATCATGATTATATAATAAAATTTAAATTTTTATTCAAAAAGGCAATATTTCAAACTTTTAATTTCAAAAATCTTAATTCTGCAATAAGTGTATTTAATTGTAGCAAATTTAATGATCCTTCGTCATGCTTAGCAATTTGGAACTCATAAATTAATGATTTCTTCAAGTAAAATTCTGCATTATTTCAAAAGTCAATAATTCTCTAGTAACTTTTCTTCAAACCCTAACCATTATATTATATGTATAATGAAGAATAATTGCAAAGAAAGATAGCCGAATTTACTGGGTAGTTCTTGTGATGCGAAATAATTGCAAATTAACACCTAGTTTTAACAGCATCAATCTCTTTTTGCTCTCATTTAAATGCATTCGCACACTTTAATTTTGAAATATAAGAGTTTTGGAAATTATCAAATTTATCTGCTCAAATACTATAGATCTTCATAAGTGTTAATAGAATCATTAGCCTTACATATAGTGTTTAATATAATGATGCACATTATACTGGGATTCATTCCTTATTCATCTAGTTATTATAAGATTTACAACCCCATGAAAATTTAAAATTTTGTCAAAAATAGTGAATGTACCTTTGATTAAATTTAGTGTGTGTGATATGAATGGAAATAAAACAAAGGTTTTAATTAATAAAAACTTTTCTAATTGTTCTCTATTTCAGGCAAAATCGCGCTCAATTCTAGAAATATTAGAGATAGCCTGAGGAAAAAACACGAGTTAAATGAATGATTGGTGTTATCCAATGATTATCTAATGTTATGAAAAAATTAACACAATATGAACGTAAAATATTGGCTTCTAAGAATATTAAACAATACAAACAGTTTACATACATAAAAAAGAACACATAAACAAGAAAATATCATTCTAAGTCGTCGATATTAATTTTAACTTTTTCAAATTTACAATCTGCAAGAATATTTTGGTCAGGAAGATTTTCTTCATTATCTTTATCATTTGGTGGTGCTGTTGGCCGTTCTTCTGGAAGGCTGAAAATTTTATCAAGAAAATTCATGACAAATTGATACCATTTCGCGTTGAACACACAAAAATTAAGAATTAATTGGTTCAGCATATGAACAATCATTGATCTAATCCAAATACCGAAAGTTACATTTAAACATGGCCAAAATGGATTCTTTTTGTATTTTCTGACATCAATTAAGCGCATTTCTCCAGTGACTATCGGATGGCAATGATATAAATAGATTCCAAAAGAAGTTTCTCCCATAAAATTAATGATTTCAGATAAATATGGTATATTTGGTATTTCTTGAGTAAACAATAAAAGGAAAACAGTTTGAAAGGTAGCAAAAGGACAATACATGAGATCAGACTTCAATAATTTGGAAATTATTGGATAATTTTTGAAATACGGGGAAAATTCGCCCAAAATACCTTTCCAATGCAACCATGTTGTTAATAGAAAACCTAATCCCGATAAAATTATGTTCAATCTGATTTTGTAATTTTTAATGAAATTTCCTATTGTATAATAGAATAAAAACATGATAAAATTCTGTCCGAAGCCCCAATCCATAACGCTATTAAAGTGTTCTAATGTTCCCCAGCATGACAATACGAACCAAATTAAAATTATCAGAAATTCTCCCATAAAAGTCGTCTTTTTGAATCCAGCCGCCATTAGACTATATAGTATTTGAGAAAATATAAATGGACCTGTGAACCAGAAGACTGAATGAGCTACTGGGAGTAAATAATAATAAAAATTATCATAATTATAAATGAGTTTGTTATTTAGGAGACGGTATAGATATATCCCAACCGAGTAATAATAAGTCCAAATATAAACTGGTATCAGCCTCGATAACTTAAAATGCGAATTTACCAAAAAATACGCTGACATCGAAATGAAAGTATTGTTGCTTATTGTTGTTAGAGATTGCAAGAAATATAGATCATGATGGGTGTGGTAGCCACCAAATGTAAAATAGAGAACGTGTCGTAAACAAATGATAAAAGATGAGTATAAACGTAATAATTCAAAAGACGATTGCCTTTTAAAGACCATAGGATCAATGAATCTTTTGTAAAATGAAATCATGTAATCACTCATCTTGTTTAAAAAATCATCTCCAGTAGTATATGAGTGCTGGTTGTGTGACTTTTTTTGTAAACGTAAGAATTCATACAATATTGAACGATTTTGTATCATTATTTTTAACATTAATTTTAAACATAATTTATTTTTTTTATTCTTACATAAATGACCCAACAAGTAAAACCAGATAAAATAGATTATCGAATTTTAGAGGATGGTGTTCCTGTTTATATTCAAAGATTTAAAGGGAAGTAATTTTATAGAATTCTTAATCCTGAATACATAAAACATTTATTTAAAAAAGGAAGACTGTGAATTATTAAACGTTAATGAATATGAAACCAATAAATCAAAATTGAAATATAAATATATTGGAAGTGATGAAAGATGCAAAGATAAAGATAAAGTTTATACAGTTTCATATAATGAATGGAAAACCAATAAGATAAGAAAACATTTAGGAGATTATGGGAAATGTTCTGAATTCTTCAAATCTAGTATGTACGAGAGAGTAAAAGAAATCAGAAATAATTATTTTCATGAGTAAAAGAAATTAAAAATTCATGTCTTATGTTTTTGAATAAATCAAGATTTAAAAATGATGTAAAATGTAAGACATTTACACTCAACCCATACATGATGTAATGAAAAATAAAAGAAGCTATATATATATATAGATGATGTCAGATATTCCGCGATTAATTAAACATTGTTTAAATCATGAATGGAATCAATGGAGTCATAATCAAAGACCTCATAAACGAGAAAAATAAATTAGAAACTAATGATTATTTGAATTTATGAAATCAATTATTTGATTCATTCTTTCTTCAATCTCTTCTATTCTTTTTGTTAAATCATCAATTTTCATTAATGAGGTGATTCTTGATTGAGGAATAGATTTCAAACTAACCACTCCTTTTATTTTTGAAATTTTGAATCCATCAACTTTAAACATTTTATTCAATTTACATGTTGTCAATTCTTCAAATAATTTTTTATTATTGGTATAATAGTCATTAAATTCTTCAACAGATTTAAAAATTTTTATTTCAGTAATTGGTTTAACAACGTTTATTTTTTGTTGATCATTACCACTTTCATTTATTTCTTCCTCCTCTGTTTCATTACTTTTTAAAATCAGTTTCATTTCTGATTAAATAAAAATTAGAATATAAGTGATGAAATATATTTTTTAATTAATATTAAATCAGAAATGGCGGCAGGATTCTTTAAAAAATTATGGGATGGAATTAAGAAAGCTGCGGGTTGGGTTTATAAAAAGGTTATTAAACCTGTTGCAAACTTTTTGGCACCAGTAGCGAAAACGGCAGGAACTATCATAGGTGGAGTATTAGGTACAAAAGCAGGTAATCCGGCGATGGGAGCACAAGCAGGTAACGCAATTGGTGGAATAGCTGAAGGAATACTTAATAAAATAGGAGGTAAATAGTGGAAAAATAAATAAATATTATTTTTATCTTAGTATCGGTTGTAGTCTTTGATAAACTTTTTCTCCTTTATTTAAAACTTCTCTTATTGGAGCAGCTTTTGGTGTTATTGATTCAGCTATGTCACTAATTGCTTCTTTATTCTTAAATATCCAATTTGCTCCCTTCTTCAATGTTTCCCAAACTTTACTCGCTCCTCTTTTTACTTTATCCCACAGTTTCTTAAATATACCTGCAGCCATAGTTGATTATTTCATTAAAATTAAAAATTCATTTTCATCTTTTAATTTTGATTTTTTATTTAATCATAAATGACGACTAACTATTTGGTGCCAAACACTAAACCAATTAATGGAAATGTGTTTCATTCATTCGAAAAGATAAATGAAATATTCGCAAAGAATGACGGTAGAAGATATTATAGAGAACTTGAAAGTTCATGCTATGACTCTGATACTCCATATTTTGATGATAAACAAACTCATTTAAGAATTACAAATCCAGCTCATGATGTGAACCAATTAGGTGACACATATATTAAACGTAAAGTTAAAGTAACTCTAGTTTCAAATAAAGCTTTCACATGTGATGCCGCTTTTAAATGCATGCGTTTATTCGTTGGTTACAAATCATCAAATCAAAACTTTAAACAATTAGAAGTAGAAACTGAAAGAGGTGATGCCGGTTATCTTCAAATGGATTGCGCCCGTGAATCTTTCGCATTTGCAACATATAAACCAAAATCAGAAAGGAAAATTAAAAAGTTTGTTCATTCGTTATATAATAATGTTCAAAAATATGATAACTCAGTATGTGGTAAATATATTGACCCCTCAGAAGTTTTTAAGAACGCAAATAAAGAAGTTGATGTCACTTTTGATATGATTATTCCGGTAAATGATTTGTTAGCATTTCAGGCGTTCGATGATTATCCTAAATCATTTGGTGATATCATTCTTAAATATTATGTTTTCAGGGATACTTTAGTATTTTGTCAGGTTGACCCGTTAAGAGTTGCTGATTTACAAAATTACGTTTATGAAAAGATAACTGATGAAAATTATGAAAAGATTATGAATCATGTTTATAAATATGATCGCAAATTCCAACAAATCGGACTTTCTGCCAAATTAATTACAAGCTTAGCCGCTACATCTGCTGACGCAACAGTTGATGACGTTATTATTTCATGCACAAAGATGGAAGTTTTAGAGGATAAATGTATTACACCAGGATACGGTTTAATTGAAGAATCAGTTAAAGCAATACCACGTTTATTCAGTAAGGAAGATCCATTCATGATTCCAGCTCAACATATTGACGTTCGTTCACTAAATGGAGGTTGCATCACTCCTGAAGGTATTAGCTCAGATTTCTCATACGCCCTTCATAATGTTACAGATGTTGTGTTAACATTTCCGAAAAATGCAATGCAAAGAACAGTTTTAGAAAATCCAATGCTTCGAGGTCTTCAGGTCACTATAGATTCCCGAAACTTCCCCGATCAAGCGATGACCACAGTGGGTGACATATTCTTTACACGTATGCTTCAAGCTTCTGATTTAGATGGAGTGAATGAATGCACGGAAGAATACGAGGACTCATTAACTAGACCACTGAATGCAGATGATGGCACACCATCAATTAGAACATGGAAAGACCAAACATCATTCTTATGCACTATTCCAGTTCAACGTAATGGAGCGGGTATATTCTTTGATGGATTAGAAACTTTTAACTCACAAGTTACAGTACAAGTGAAAGCTTATCCAATCATTCAAGGTGAAAATGACACTTACTGTTCAAAGGTGACAAATCCTCCTCAGATTTGGTTTACTAGGACTACATATTGGACATGGACACCGGATGAAGGTTTGAAATATCATCCAACAGGTACACCACCACAGTATAGAAGTTCATATGATGAAATATTGATGAATAGAAATGTTTAAAATTATAAATTTATTTTTGATTAAATGGATTTAAATTCATCCACCCCTTATGAAGAATTAGCGGGAGTATATAATACATACGTAGATGATATGATTAATGAAGCATTGAGTGATAATAAAAATGCTTTATCTAAGGAAAAATTAATGAAAATTCCATATTCTGAATGTTACTTAAATTCAATCACTGCAGCAATTGGTAAACAAAATAAAGGTAAAACATTAACGATATTAAAACAAATTATCATTATTGCTAACACTTCCCCCTATTCACATGTGTTAATTTATATCAACCGTTCAGGTTCACCTTCAGATGATACATTTGAATCTTTAAAGCATTTAATCAAAATTCCAATTATTTATTTATCACAAGAAGAAGCAGAAGATTATTTAAAAAACTTTTTAATGTATAAAGAATTGTATAATACAATCAAGAAGCAAGGATTAGAGGATAAAATTATTGATAAACAACGGGATGAATTATTTGAAACACTTTCCATTTCAAATTTTGATAAAGAATTTTTGCATTCACTCATTTTTCTAGATGATGCAGTGAAATCAAAACTAATAACAAATGAGAAATCATATTTTAATCAGTTATTAACTCAATATCGACACATTCAGTGTTCATTCTTTATGGCTGTTCAATATTTCAAAGCATTAAGCACAAACATTAAATCAAATCTATCAACACTTTTCATTTTCAGTGGGTTTAGTCGTCAACAGTTGAACGTTATGCTTTATCAAGTGAATTTACCAATGAGCATTAATGAACTTTACACACAATATCAGCAATTAGGTGAACATGGAAAAATAATAGTTGATTTAAATAAAGGAGGTGTTAAATTTGATTAACTTTTTATAATTAATTTTTATTTTTTATTTATAATTAAACATGACAGAAATAGCAAATCTTTTACAGGTTCCATTAAAACAAGGGACAAACAAAAGGGGTGCATATAATAGAACTATGAAAGTTCCCGATGGAATGAAAGAATTAGTTCATATTGTTGCTGGTCTTCAAAAAGATGTTAAACACATGAGAAATGTTTTAACATTACCAGAAGCTCAAGCATATGCCAAACGTCATGGTCCAAATTGGGAAGCACACGAAGCAGACATTACGGGTCCAAATGGAAAACCTGATGGTATAAATGAAGTTTTCGTTACTGATGGTCAAGGTAATATTAAAGTCATAAATGGTTATAAATTAACTGTATCTGATTATCCTAAACGTAAAGCATATAATGAACATTATCCTATGCAATTTGATGAAAATGGAAAAGCTGTTAAACAATACATTGGAGAAGGTGAAAATGGTCCAATTAATTCATACCGTCATAATCCATATTCTTATTTCAATGAAGAATTAAATGCTATTGAAGAGGGACCGGATGGATTACCACCATATTCTAACCAGTTTGATGGTCAATATGCAAACATTAGACCTGAAATTTCAGCTAAGAAATTCTTTAAAGTTGCTTTATTCGATCCAGTTTTCGCAAATGTTAAAGATGAACTTAAACAGCAATTCCAACCAATTATAGTAGCAAGAATTGCATCAGGTGCTTTATCTCAAGCATTCAAAGATTTAATTAAGAAACCATTATATCAGCAACGAGGTTTAACTTATGATTTAGTTAAGGAATCAGATAAAAGAAAATTTGAGAAATCAGATGATTTTAAGAATGCAATTAATGAATATATTCGGTCTATTAATTTCGATGAAACAGCTAAAAATCAACTTCATGAACAAATACAGGGAATAATAGATTCAAAAGTTCCAGCAAAATAAAAGTTTAAATATATTTTTTTTATTCGAATATAAATGAGAAGACGTTTCACTAATCAAAAGAACACTAACGCAAAAGCAGAGATTACGGTTGGTTATAACGTAAATGATGATAAATCACGAATTATTCAAAAATGTTAAAGTTAATGTTAGCCCTGAATTAACAAGGTCAGCAACTCAACCAAATTTATTAACTCGTGACTTACCGAGGAATGAGGAGAATGAAGAAAACCATGAGAATGGAGACCCAATCATTTTATCTGAACCTGGTAAAGAACCTGTTGAAATTCTCACTTATCCAACATACCCCCACCTCTTTCATCAAACATCGAGAACCCATATAAAATAGACATTAATTTTGAATTAATGAAAATTTACCGTGATATAATAATTAATAATTATGATTCAATAATAAATTTAATTGACCAATCCGGTTTAATTATTTTACCTTATGAATCATTAATTCACATTATCGCCATTCTTTGTGATGTTCAAGATTCAGACGTTAAGATTCAATTTTTCATAGATGATGAGGTTTCATGCTGCGGAATAGTTGCAAAAATAAATCCTATAAAAGATATTAGCACAATTAAGATATCAAAGAATGGAACAATAACTGAACTTCATTTAACATATAATGATATTTATAATAAAATAGTTGATGAATATAAAATATCACTTGAAAAATTCTTTGTTAAGGCTATTTAATATTCAAGCATTAACATTAACGAATAATAATCCTTTGAATCATAATCAATAATAATTGACCTTTCACCAGTTTCTATCGTTTGTTTTATTTCTTTTTGTTCCCACTATCTGGATCAGTCATTGTAATTGTTTTTGTTATAGTATCAGCTTTATCTTTAACTTCAATCTTTTTTCCATCGGGATATTTAAACCAAAATTCCAAAAATTCGATATTGTCAATCTGTTCATATTTTAATCTATCAATTACATTTTTAATACCATCTGAAAATCTTATGAAATGGTCATTATATGGGTTTGATTGAACTAAATTTGAATGAAGTGAAATATAACCTGATGATGAATATGACATCGACTCATATTTTCTGAAAACACTAAAATTTATAACATGAATGAATTTCTTATTCGTTGAATTTATGAATTCTTGAGGTAATCTTATTCTAGTTTTATTTATCACTGGAAAATAACGCTTTACCATATTTTTAATCGTAATAAAAATGTCAATTATCAATATTATTTCGAATAATAGTTGTGAATTAAATTTAACAGTTAGTGGAATTTATAATGTTACTCTCGTTTCTGTGAGTGGTAAATTTAATCCCATTCTTTTAGACCCTTCAGATTATATATCATTTATTAAAGATGACCATGAAAAAACGTATGATATGTATATAAATAACGTGATAGCGAAATGGGATATTAACACGATTTTAAGTTATTTAAATGAATCATTTATCGTATGGTATGAAGAAAATTTTAAATCAAAACCTGAAAACTTTTTGAACTTGATGAAATAAATAACCTTATTAAATTCCCGCTGAAAATTAAATTTTGTACTCCTCACCTTCGTTCATTGTTGGGGATATTAAATTTTGAAAAAGATGTTGGGGATGTTTTGTATTCTGACACTGGTTCCAATTTCATTTTAATCAAATGCGATAAAGTTAATACTCCAATGAGATTTTCACATCAAACATTAGACCCTAACTCTTACCCATCAATACAAAACATTTTATCCATCAACTTAAACACATTTTCTTTATCATATCCGTTTCAATTATCCGGGAATTCATTTATTCTTCATTCAAAAGATTTATCAAATATTAAATTTAGAATAACTGACCTATTTGATTGTGATTTAGAATTTATGAATGAAATATTATGGCAATTTCAAATAGAAAAAATAGCTGATGAGATAATGGATTAAATATTTATTTTTAAATCATAATAAATGATTAAACAACAGCAACCACAACAACTTAAGACACAAAGCGCCCAGGTCCTTCAAACCATTACATACGCCACATATGCATATAATTCAAAGACGGCAGAACAAACGCAAAGGTTGAAATATGGAGATTTGGAGATAGTATTGAAAAATGACCATTTCGAATTCGTTTGCAAAGGTGGTGCAGTGATATCAAATATAAAAGAAATTTTATTTATGAATTCAAAAATTAAAGGTATAACGGATGATATAACATCAATTCCACCAGAAGAACAAAGATATTACGCATTAAATGCATTTCCCAAAGTTTTGAAGATTGGAAGATTTAATTTAAATGAGGAATTCATAAAAGGTTTCCTAAATGACATAATGAAGAAAGCGGATAAGGAATATGTGGCTAGTAAATTAATGAAGAAGGCAAATTTGGTTTATGTGGATGAAAAAGATAATGAAATTAAAGAAAGGATTGAATGGTATCATGAATGGGCATCGAAGATTTTTAAAACTAAAGCTGATACAGGATGGGTTTCAGGATGTTTAGACCTTAAAGCGGATAAAACTTATGTTAATGATGAGTTAGAGAAGAAAGCGGATAAGGAATATGTTAACGAAATATACCAAAGTTTGATAGGAACAACTAAAAATATTGAAACTATTGTTGGTGACTTTTCTGTCAATGAAGAAAATAAATATTTTAGATGGCAGTTTGTACAGTCCTTAAAAAATGGTACACGGTGTAAACTCATTCCGAAAAATAACAATGAAATGTATGTAAGCTATAAAAAGAATGATGACACACAAGTTAAAGTTCCATTAGTCAACAACTGTTACTTAAACTTATATAGAGACGAACAAAAGAGATATTTAAGAGTTTATGAAATGACAGATATGACATTGTCTAACCTAGCTCCAGCACCATATTATTATGACTATGGAGATGATGTCAGAACACCACATGTAGATGAACAAAAGTTAACATTATATTTAGATTATTATAGATATAAAAGATATAATGCAATAGAAAAAACGAGAATAGTATATTATTATACAGATGACAGAAATAAATATTATAGTCAAGATTTTACTTACCCTGAAAACATAAGATTATATATTATAAAAAATATTCTAACACAAATCAGAAGAAACCCGAAATAGTTGCACTATATTTTAAGTTCAAAAGAGGCAATCCTATAATATCTCATATGTTTGATTTAATGAACCCAGTAGGTTCTATTTATACATCTATGGATGCAAGAGGTCCTCAAGTAATGTTTGGTGTTGGTGCATGGGAACAAATAGTCGACAGGTTTTTGTATTGTGCAAACTCTTCAAAGGAAACAGGTGAAAGTAAAACAATTACAGGTGAAAATTTACCTGCACACAGTCACTACATAGATTTAAGCACATCTCAAGCGGGTTGGCATAAGCATAGATATTGGGATTGGTCAGGAATGACAAAAGGTAAAGGATATGATGTTAAAGACGACGTTAAGTTTGCTGTAAATTGTTACTGGAGTGACACTCAGGGAGAAGGAAACCATACACATTTCGTTTCAGGATATACACAAACAACAGGACAAAGTAAAGAATACATGCCACCATTTATGACAGTTTACGCATGGTATAGAGTTCAATGAACACTCAATGTTTGTGAAACGAACTTTAGAACGGACTGAAAGAGTGAACGACATAATTTAAATTTTTATTTTAGTATAAATGAAGATTCTACCATATGGTGTTATTGGAAGAGATAAAGATGGAAACCCAATATTTGATCCAAAGTTAAAATTAAAGTTACTGACAAGACAACAACTTGAAAAGTTACTGAAACCAAAACAGGATGAGAAAATGAGAAAGAAAAAAATTTAAATTATGTAATTTTATTTTTATCATAAATGACAAAATTAATTAAGCCAACTATTTCTAAATTAATGTTACCAATGAAATCATTTCGTGGAGTAATTATCCCAGGTTCTTCACAATTAGCCAGGACAAGTATTGGGACTCAAGGTGGAACATTAGTGAATCCATTCAAATTATTAACTAAAGATGAACTTAATAAAATGATGATAAAATAACTGATAACAAAATTTGATTTCAGTGCTACCATGTTGTCATGACATTTTCGTAACAACATGAGAGGAAGGCAATAATGATTTATTTTTGAAGAACTGAAGGTGCTACCATGTTACCGGGTGCTACCAGGTAATTTAATTTCTTTTAAAAATGGTGACAACATGACATTTTGACAACAACATGAGAGGAAGGCATTAATGATTTATTTTTGAAGAACTGAAGGTGCTACCATGTTGTCATGACATTTTCGTAACAACATGAGAGGAAGGCAATAATGATTTATTTTTGAAGAACTGAAGGTGCTACCATGTTACCGGGTGCTACCAGGTAATTTAATTTCTTTTAAAAATGGTGACAACATGACATTTTGACAACAACATGAGAGGAAGGCATTAATGATTTATTTTTGAAGAACTGAAGGTGCTACCATGTTGTCATGACATTTTCGTAACAACATGAGAGGAAGGCAATAATGATTTATTTTTGAAGAACTGAAGGTGCTACCATGTTACCGGGTGCTACCAGGTAATTTAATTTCTTTTAAAAATGGTGACAACATGACATTTTGACAACAACATGAGAGGAAGGCATTAATGATTTATTTTTGAAGAACTGAAGGTGCTACCATGTTGTCATGACATTTTCGTAACAACATGAGAGGAAGGCAATAATGATTTATTTTTGAAGAACTGAAGGTGCTACCATGTTACCGGGTGCTACCAGGTAATTTAATTTCTTTTAAAAATGGTGACAACATGACATTTTGACAACAACATGAGAGGAAGGCAAAAATAAATTCAAATCATACTTTATAAAGCTTCATTTACATGTATTTCATCATCAGTAAATGAATCCTCATTATCGTTTGGTTCAACTTGTTTATATAATCCTTTCATTTCTTCTTTCAAAACATAACACCATGTTTGTTTACCATCTATTCTTCTATGTTTCCTATCACATTTATCCTTAATACTCATTTGAAAATTCTTGTCTTTCATGTCTGATGGTTTGCAGAATAAAGCATTTTCACACATCATACCTGCACACAATTCATCATAATGTGTATTTATCCATGCATCTAAAGGATTTGCTGATAATTCAATTAAATCTTGTTTGGCTTCAGTCATCGGTATGATTCGTACATTAAATGATGAAAGGTCATAATTGATAAAATACGTCAGTAAATTATCATAAAATTCCTTTGTGCATGAATTCATCAAATTCTTGAAGTAATCAAATTGACCCTTAAATTTACCATTAACTCTTAAAACTACATATCTTCTGTCTCCAACTTCAATTTTGACAGGGTAGACGTTATTAGTTACGAAAATGAAATTAGCAACGTTTTGAGCGGTTCTTCTGGGTTGATTCTTTTCATTAATTCTAATCTCATTATCCGTTATAATTGATTTCAAAGCGTTGAAGTTTGCGAGTCTGTCTTCACCCACATTCTTGAGTTCATTAAGTACAAGAAACATTTTATTCTCAACTACTGAGTTAAAATTACCCGTTAGCTCACCTATTTCAGTAATGTTTTTACATGAATAACCGGCGAGAAGTTCAGAAATAATGTCCGTGAATCTGTTTTTACCTGTTCCCTGAAGTCCTTTCAAAATAATTGCTGTTTCCTTCTTGATTCCAGGATGTTGAATCATTGATGCAATCCAACCGAGAAGGTATTTATACACTTCATCGTTATTATCACAAATGACTTCTTTAATGAAATTCATAAACATCTCAATTTTTGAGTAATCTAGTTTTTCGAGAATGTTGTATTTATAACCTTGAAACGTTGAGAAAACATCAGGGGAATTAGATTTAAAGCAAACACCCTTAACGGTTAATGAAGACAATTGATTTAGTAGTACATCCCATGCTGTTATTGTTTTACCTTCTTCTTTAAATAATTTAATCATTTTAAGTGACTCTTTCATGTTTGATTGAAGAACGAATGATATTTGATTCATTTTGTCGTGGATATTATAATCCTTTTGAATGAAATATATATTTCCACAATCTACAAAACGGATTACACGTGATAAATCCTCAATTACTTCAGAACTGTTTTTATACTGATGATTTTCAGCCTTGTGTCTAATATCTGTTATCAAAAACGAGTCATCAAGTTTGATATCAAATGTTATTTTTGGCTTACGTAATAAAGGTAAAACATATTCATCATAATATTCCTTTTGATGTAGTTTTAGAATCTTCACCAAAACAAATGGAGAAGTCATTAAATGTGCATATCTACAACGTGCTTTTTCAAAATTACTTTTTGCATTTTCAGTTAAAATACAGAAGTTATAAACGTTGTCGTATGCTTCATTAATTAAATGATTAGGTAACGAATTAATTGCTTGAAACAAGTGTGAATAATGTAACTTCTTTTTTAAATTCATGTTTCCACCGTCATTATGTACTTTAAAATCACACATGCCATCAACTATGCTCTGAGCAAGTTTATCGTCAATGTTTACATCTTTGTTCTCATTCATGATAGTCTTTATTTCTTCATTCTTCTGTTCAACTCTTACCTTAATATTCAAATCATTTAAATATATCATTCACTGTTCTGGTTAATGTTGAATCATAACTTCCACGAATGAATGAGTATGTATTGATTGGTTCTGTTGCATTCTTGCGAACTCTTGAATCAGCCATAACCACTAATGAACGCTTTGAATCATCAACAGAAGTCATGATATATATTAATCATTGCAGGAATAACATTTAATCATTCTGTTCGAGGTTGAATAGAAGAAATTAGTGTTGCAATATATGTGAAGACCTCCTGAAGCGGTTTTAACGATAACATCTTTATCCGAAAGTTTTGATAGAATGTCTTTTCTAACTGTTTCTTTAAGTTCATCATTGTATAATTTATTGATATCAACATCTATAATCGTTAAATTTGGAATTTTATTTACTAATAAAGCCATACCAGTTTTCCTTCCTCTTCCTCCATCATGTTTGAGGTAGTTATGTAAATTAATCATGTTTTCACCAATTCTTTCGTTGAGGGTTTTAGTTTCTGCCACAACTAATTCCTCAACTAATGAATCAATAACTTTTTCATCAGAAACGATAAAGTTGCTGTTGTTGTTTGTTGCCGTCATTTATATAGGAATAAAAAAATAAAAATAATTTTAAAACTAACTTTATTTTTGGACTGCATCATATTTCATGTTGTTGTCAAAATGTCATGTTGTCACCATTTTTAAAAGAAATTAAATTACCTGGTAGCACCCGGTAACATGGTAGCACCTTCAGTTCTTCAAAAATAAATCATTATTGCCTTCCTCTCATGTTGTTACGAAAATGTCATGACAACATGGTAGCACCTTCAGTTCTTCAAAAATAAATCATTAATGCCTTCCTCTCATGTTGTTGTCAAAATGTCATGTTGTCACCATTTTTAAAAGAAATTAAATTACCTGGTAGCACCCGGTAACATGGTAGCACCTTCAGTTCTTCAAAAATAAATCATTATTGCCTTCCTCTCATGTTGTTACGAAAATGTCATGACAACATGGTAGCACCTTCAGTTCTTCAAAAATAAATCATTATTGAATAACCTAAAACCATTAATGATAACATTAACAATAACATCAAATTTTATATAAATGGATACCCCACAAGCTCAAAATTTACCACGAATCATAATAAGGGAGGAAATGATAAAAATGATGCAAGAACTAATTAAAAAACAACAAACCACAAAAACCGAGAAGATGAGGAATAAAAATTAAATTTGGATTGAGTTTAAAAATTCATCTTTATTAAATTCATCTCTTCCAATCAATTTATTTATTCTATTAAATTCTTTTATTTTTGCTTCACTCAGTTTAAGGATTGAACGATAAGTTTCTAATTTTTCGATTATTTCTTTCCTCTCTTGATCGTTTTCAACCCCACCACATTGCGGCTTCTTTTTGTAATAGCATATTTTTGATTTAATTTTGTTTAGTTTCTTTTTATATTCATCGTCTGGACTCTTGGATGCTTCATTGTCACTCATTTCTTACGAAATAAAAAAAATTAAATATTATTTAAATATAATGGAGTAATAAAATAAA